GGCTTCCCGATCTCCTACATGTGGGTGCCAACCGTCTTGCTGGAAACATTCAATCTTGAGCCAATATCCTACAGCGTTGTATGTGGATTTTCTTCCACTAACGTTCTCAATTGTTCGTTGTCAATGGCGGAAGACCGCCCACCACGCTCATCATCTTCCAGGCTCTCATTACGGATACGGAATTTTTCTAAACATCACTGTGCTCTACGTTGATTCGTCGTACATACACCAAGGGCATCGTTGATATCCCGGGCCGTTTCAGTCGCACTCCTGCCTAATTTGAATTGGAAAAGATAAATCGTGCAAAACTGTCGCTTGTCCATGCTGATTTCGACCTTCTACAAAACACCACGAATCACTCCAGGACAAAACCAATTATATATTTGAATAGAGCAAAAAATGCGCTTCAAAACGGTATAAAGCTTGCAGACAATCTTGTAGCAAATAACACCGCGGCGAGCATTTGAAAAATGGGCGTCAAAAAACGCAAGAACTTTCTTCACGACCTAATAAAAGGATGGTGCACTCCCTAACCGAAACGTGGAAAGCAGGAATGGTATTGAAGCGAAATACGGAGGAAATGACTGTTTTCCTCTGGGTTTGCTGCCATAGCAGTAAAAAAGAGAGCAATGAGGCGGCATTCTTTGGCAGGGATGTTTACGTCGTCAATAGCCGGTGATCGAAACATGTGATAACTGACTTTCTCGTTCTCAGATCCCTCACCCTTGAAAATTCCTATGTTTTCTACTTCTGAAAATAACAATTACATGCACCATAAATTTGAGTTGATCGCAACAATATATACAGCGCTGAGTTCCCCCGTTCTTCAGAAGAAAACAGAATCACGAGATGTACAGGGGTGCCCAAAATTATGGGAGCCGAAATTCAAAAACTGCTGTGGTGGAAATTATTTTTTAAACTCACTCCACCCTCTCCTGATTAGTTGTATAGAAAGGTTTTCTTGCAATATGCATGATTACTGGAGTGAAACTCTCAATATCTTTCAGATGGCCAAGGCTCATTCAATGCCACCTGCAATCATTGGCCTGCGAGAGGCGGAAGGGTTTTATTAATTTTCTTAAGATTTCTAAATATTCCCCCTTCAGAAAGCTACTGAACGATTAACGAGAAGAAGACTGAATTAAAGACAAACCAATAAGGGGCAGAAGTGCCAGTGTTTCTAAAGTTGGGACTATTAAAATGGTCCGTTTACGAGTCGACCGTGATTTTGGGTGGCCCATCAAAAGACGACAAAGGAGTAGAACTTATCAAGATTGTAGGTGGGGCAGGTTGTGAAGCAGTAGCTTCATTGCGACTACAATCTTATACAGAAATGCCACTTCATTTCCAAGTTCAACAGACAAGAAGACCAAAAATTGCAGAAAGTTGCTATCTCACTTGACTTGAGGCACACAACCTTTCATCATTTTCTCTGGCGAGAAGATTTTTACAATAAAGCCATTCCCCAACAATGGAACGATCAGTTTCTGGTTATAAACATCGAACGTGCACTCACTCACAAAAAAAGTTGCTATAAGAACATTAAAATGTTTTTGAGGGAGCCACGAGCATGGGTAAGACGCTCGTCGTTTCATCGGTGCCTGACAAAGTCCTGTGCTTGAAGGTCGTACTGATGGAAGTAGTGAAGCACTAATCCAACTTGGCTTTCTCAAACAGCTCGTAGTCCTTCCAGCAGGACGGCACCCTTGCCACGGAGCCAAACTCACCTGGAAGTGGTGTCGACGCAAGCTGCCCAACGTCATCAGCAGAGAGGAATGGCCACCCTGCTTTCCAGACCTTAACTCACTTGGCTCCTCCGTACGTTCTTGATTAGAAGAGGATCTGCCGAGTTGGCATCCAGGTTTGGAGTCTGTGTAAGCAAGAGACAAGAACAGCTGGGAAGCAATGGGGGAGAGGTACTTGCGTGAAAGCTACGAAGAGTTCGAGAGCAAACTTTGGCCCTCTATCCGCGCTCTGGGGGACATTTTGAAAAGTGATTGTAGTTGTAGCATTGTAGCACATAATGTCAGCAAATGTGCATATAGATTACATTGACATTCTCTGCTGGAAAACTTCAAACACATTGCCATGAATTGGCGCGCGTAATTTTTGGACACCATTTTTTATACTTACAATTAAATAATTACCCCGTCACCTCGGCTGAGCCTCTCGTTTCACTCTCCATTTACTTCATCGTTTCGTTCCCAAGCAAGGTCATTACCAACTGTAGCAAAGCAAATGTTTAAATATAGATAAGCTAATTTTGAAGCCGGATAAGAAAGCGCAGCAGAAAAAGAAGACTCACTCTTCCAAAAGAAACCCATTTTCCATTCTCAGCGAACCCAAAACACGTTATTCAGTGAAGAAGGTACACGTGCTGTTCCCAAGGGCCTTTGGAAACCTGTGCAACCCTCCATTGACTTCAGAGCATGGGGAAGGTGACGACTCTCAGTCCCTCTTCAAAAAAAGTGCCTTCAAATGGCTGCGCAGCGACGGTTGCCAGTGGCGACCCGCTGATGCATCGTGATAAGCAGGAGATAGCCAGCTGAGGCTCATCCCTCATCCCATGGATTTGTGCACGGTATCGATTCCTTTTCCAACCGCAGTCTCCCTTCCCCCTCCCCCCTTCCTCACTGACCTTCTTGTCTCTTCTTTCTATTTTGATTTGAAATTTGTGAAACGAATTCTCGTGGGAACCCAGGTGGTAATTACTTTTCAGAAAGATGGAACAGCCATCGAATTCGATATCTGACAGAGTCCGACATCGACGATTCCTCGTTCTCGACCGACATGTAAGTGCTGCCAATCTCTTAGCTTTCCTTCTGAACAGAAGCTAAACCTGAAAATGTTTTTTCTCAGAAACAATCTCAACCACAACGGCTCGATGACAGCTTGGATATATACAGTCCACGGAGTGTTGACAGGTGACCACGAATAGTTCTTAGTCAATGATAGCCGCATTTCCTAACTCAGAAGTGTTCAGTCTATCTAGTCCAACACAACAGGCAGCTCCGATTCCTCCGCAAGCAGTTGCGATACAGGTCGAAGATGAAGACGGTTTTCGGATAGGTGGGTAGTCTGTGATAGCATCGATCCATTCTGCTCATAAGAATTCAGAGGATTCGGATCTAGCAGATTCCCCTCGACAGCCCTCTTCATTCACCAGAGGAAACAAGGAGGACGACGTGAAATCTCAGTTGTCGTTCATTATGAAAGAGAGATTGCATACCATGGCCAAAGAGGTAGGTGTTAAAGTATTTTCGGACGAGTTTTCTGGGGATCAAATAAGAGTTAAGGTTTGCTTCACTTGTTATCATTCCCTTATCGTTCTGAAAGATCTTTAACTAGGTACAAAGAAGAACATCGGCAGTGCGTGAGAGCCTAATTCGGGAAATTCCCGAGGACTCGATATCGGCAACATCGATGTCAGCACCTAC